ATTATTATTTATTCGTCTTTAGTAAAAGTTTATTTTTTAATTATATTTTAAAAATAACCTTTGATTTTATAAAACAGAATTTGCTCCTATTCGATATTTTATTATAAAAACATTCTTGAACATGACCACAAGTGAAGTAATCATATGCTTCCGAGAATTTATAAGCTCTGATTGATTTCTTTGTGTATATGCTAGGTGTATCGATTAAATATTGAGTAACGTTTTGCCATGTAATGTTTGACAAATGATTGAGATCGTTGCTCCATTCTTTTGGTTCGATTATAAACGGATGAGGTAAAACTTCCCCATTTTTAAGAGTTAATTTCTTTGTGTAGTCTATTGCTTCTTCTAATTTTAGACTTTTAAAATATTCACTCATGATATTGTTAACTATTTTGAAAAAACTAAGTGTTATTGTTGACTTCCAAAAACAGAATAAAAAAAGTAGAAAAATCGCAAGAGCAACAGCAATTTTTAAACTCAAAATGAGATTAAAATTTGAACAAGAACATCTGTTTTAAAATTTTTTAAACAAAAGTTTTTAATAACAATAAAAACTTTTATCACCAAAATTTATATGAAAAATTTGTAATTAATTTTAATTATTATTCTTTTATTAATTTTTTAAAGGAAAAATTAATTTTAGGGTACAAATATTGATTTTAGGGTATAAAAAAAATATAAGAAACACATTAAAGTTCTTGTGTTTTTATTTTTTCTACCTACAAATATGCGTGCATGTTGTTTACAAAAAGACGTGAGGTCGCGCGGAAACTCATCTATATGTAATGCTTATTTTTGGCATTAATGCCTTAAACATTTTTTTTTTTTGTAATGAGTGTTGAATTCACATCATGTCATTTATTAAATTACAATTCCCAAAACTAATTCGCAAAAATCCAACCTAAAAATTTAAACATTTTTTTTTACTTGTTTTTTTTTGTGTAGCGTAAATTAAATGGTATTTTAGGTTTTAAGTTCACCACCCTTTGGTCCGACCCAAAATATTTAAGTTTATCTTATTATTTAGCCTAACAGCTTTTATGCATAATTGCTAAATATTATGTAAACAGTTTAAATGGTATAATAGCCATATTTATATATATATATATATATATATATATATATATATATATATATATATACACTACTGAGAAAAAATTTGAGCAGGTTTGGCATTTAGCAATTTTTTAAAATTGCTAAATAAATAAACTTTTTCTAATATGATTTGTACTTCAATGATAATGAATACAAAAACTAATAAATATTTTTTATAAATATTTTATATATATAAATCATAAACCTTTTGTCAGTAGTGAATATATATATATATATATATATATATATATATATATATATATATATATATATATATATATATATATATATATATATATGTATATATATATATATATGTATATATATATATATATATATATATATATATATATATATATATATATATATATATATATATATATATATATATATATACATATACACAGTAGCATTCAAAAATTTGTGAACAGGCTAAATAAAATTGAATTTTACTAATATTTAAGCAATTACTTTACTAAATCCAATATATTATATACCAAAAAACAAGATTTTCATGTTTACTTTTATGTTTTGAAAAAGTAGTGTTTACTCTTATGTTTACTCTTATGTTTTGAAAAAGTAAAATAATTTAATTTACGTTCTTTAACTGATTTTAAAATTAATGATTTTTAATGAGCTCAAAAATTTTCGGACAAAGCGTTTATATTTGAAAAAGTTAGGAAACATTTGATCAAAATTTATTAGAAATGCAAAATCACATTAACATTTTGTAGGATCTTTACAATTACGAATGGGTTTGTATCTACGAGGCATAATGTCAGCTAAATTAATGAAAACATTAATGGGGACTAAGTGCAATATTTATTTGATTTTTATGAATAAATGAGCATAATTTGTAAGCTCGACGTCTAATATTTGACGGTCAACATGTTGCCATAAATAATCAACAGCATCTTTATTCAACTAATTTAATTATTTAATAATTTTCTTATTTCAACTAAGTTAATTAGGATATCAACAAAATAGAAATTTTACTCTTTTTGAAGAATTTTTGAACCAATTTACCTGTGTGTTTGAGATCGTTTTCCTGATCAATGATCCACTGATGAATGAATCAAGGAGACATTATAACCTTTGCATGAGGTAACTCGATGCTCTTATATATGTCTTTGTATATTTCTTGATCAATTGTTTCAGTATATCAAACGAGCGGATTAATTCAAATCATACCAAAACCATTTTACAGAAAGCAGTTGGAATTTGGGATCATATTTTGAATCAACTGGATGTCAAACCAATTTGATTCCATCTGACCCGAACTGCCTAAATTTGTTTTTATCCCTAAAAAGAGTCTTTGATTAAAGTTGAGTACTCCAGTTTAGATCTTGTAATACTAATTCTTTTTGGGCGTTTTAGTTTTTCAGGTAAATCAATTACTTTTAGATTAATTGTCTTCCAAACACATTTGCGTGTCGCAAACAACTTTTTATAGAAGAAATATTACAATTCATTTCGTAAAAATGTTTCATTTATTCATTTAAATCAATAACTGTCAAATAGAGTTTTTTGTTGCTAAGTATTAAAAACGTTTTATCCTGACAATATGTTGTTTTATGTGATCTTCCTGATTTTTTTGAATCTTTGTGGATCTCATTAGTTCGTATCTCTTTATAATTTGTCTATCAGCAGACTTACCGACTTCATAAAATTTTGCTGTCTTGTGAAATGAATTTCCATTTAAGCTAATGCTTCATTTGAACTAGCTATCAACTTTTTCACTGGAGATATAATGCTTTTCTTATACCCTGTGACCTCAATCACTTATTAATAAAGCTTTTAAATAGTCTGAAAATTTTTGAGCTCATTAAAAATCATTAATTTTTAAATCAATTAAAGTACATAAATTAAATTATCAATATTTTTTCAATACATAACAGTTAACATGAAAATCTTTTATTTGGTATATAATATATTGGACTTATAGAAGTAATTGCTGATATAATAGTAAAAGTCAATTTTATTTAGCCTGTCCGCAAAATTTTGGACTCTACTTTATATATATATATATATATATATATATATATATAATATATATATATATATATATATATATATATATATATATATATAAATGTTTAGCAAAAAAAAAATTTTTAACAAATATAAGTTAAAAGTTCCAGGTAACAAAAGAAAAACTATTCAAACTAAAATGAGTAAAATATATTTATTAGTTAACTTTTAACAAATATTTTAAATTTTTCTCCAACACAGAAAATCTTTTTAAAAGTAATGTAAAAATAATTACTTTCTATTTATATGTTCATTGTGTCATGTCCCTGTTTATGTAGGTGAGCTTCATAAATAAGAAGTAAATTCTCATTTGAAAGTTTTAACATAGTAGATAATTTTAAAAAAAGTTCATTTTTATGGCAATTAAAAACATGCTGATCAAATTTATCTGAACCAATACCTGTTCTGTAGGTGTAGATGTGTAGATTAGTTCTTAACCTTAGGTTATTAGTTTTACCAATGTATGTTGTTTTTCCATCACATCCATTACATGATAGAAAATAAACAACATTTTTTGAATTACATGATATTAAAGTTTTAATGTACCATACTTTACCAGATGATGTTGTAAAATGGTTAACAAACTGAAGATACATAGTACATAGCTTTCAGTGTTTTGATTTACATTTTAAAACTTTGCATTCATCGTTAATAAGAACTTGTTTCTTATTAAAGCTTGATGTACTTATGTGTCATAAAAAGAATTTTTTTCCAACAAAAATCAAGTTATACTATATTGTGGTTAATTATAGTTTTTTTATATAAACCTTAATTACTTCCTTTTTTAACTTTTTATAAGAAGTTCAATATAAAGAATTTTGATAGTTTTGTAAATCTCATACACAGCTGAAGATTTTATATGAAAGACCTTCTGTGTTAGAGAAAAATTTAAAATATTTGTTAAAAGTTAACTAATAAATATATTTTACTCATTTTAGTTTGAATAGTTTTTTCTTTTGTTACCTGGAATATTTTGCTTATATATATATATATATATATATATATATATATATATATATATATATATATATATATATATATATATATATATATATATATATATATATATACTAAACCATATATAGATATATAGATATATATAGATTTATTTGGTTACTTGATTTCATATGGGTTTTTCTGCAAAAGAGGAAAAAAGGATGAATAATTTTTAAAAAATATTGCTGCTTAACCCAAATATTTAGATGATTTAGTGGTACTCCTTGAATGTTTATATACCTATTTACACAGTTAATTTATTTACTGAAGCCCATCAGATCGATCATTTAAATATCCAATATAAGTTATATTCATTTTAATATATAAGAATTTTAATATATATATATGTATTAAAATTAATGTAGTTTTTTTTCATATTCATGCTATTTTGTTTTCAATTCATATATAATTTTTTTTTTTATGTATGTTAATTCATCTCCTCAAGGTCATGAAGGTCATTACAGTCAAGAACGCTGTATACAGTCAGGGAGGAGAATGGTGGTTACAACCCTCTTCCAACTCTATAACTCTGAAACACAAACCTTAATGAATAAAGTTGTTTAGGGGAGAAACAAATTGAGTAATGTACTACCAGGGGCATTATATTACTTTGTACTTTACTTTGTAAAAAAACAATAATAAATAAGAACTGGAAACAAGTACTACTGCCTCAAATAGACATTTCCGTTATTGACTTTTTGCAATGGTTATTTTGGTACCAATCTCCCACTACAAATTAATTTAAAAAAAAAAAAAAAAACAGAAAATTATAGGCATACAAAAAAATATTTGAATAGTGTATTCTCATATCTTAAAATGATTATACCCACATTGATCATAGTTTTTTAAAACAGTTATGTTAATTTTTTTAATAGATCTTAAATGAAGCAATGCATAAAGCACTGATCACTATTGAACAGCAGGTAAGTGCTTGTTGTTGAGGAGTCAATATTTAAATGTCATCACTGAATGATTGAAGTCAATGTTTCACACTTGTTTATGTTTTATTTTTTTGTTTCATTTTTTTTTTTTTTTAGTTTTAATAATTTGTTTAGAAAAATTTGGATACTTTGGTTGAAGATTCTTCTAAAAAGAAAGTCATATCATCACCAAAAGGGCCTAAAAAAAGTGCAGAAAAAAAAAATAAAAAAAATAAACAGTCTCCTACCGGTGATTTACTACAGTTTGTTTTAGTTTATTGATGATTTGTAAAAAATATTTTTTTTTAGGATTTTATTTAAGCATTAAACAAATTTTGGTTAATGGAATTTTTTAACTAAAGTGAAAAAACTTTAAAATTATATTTAAAAATATTTTTTTGCAAAATCAATTTTTTTGCATCAAAATTTTGGATTGTAACTATATATTTTTTATTTACAGTCAAACAGATTACTTTTATCTAAGATTGCATTTTTTAGTTGTAAACTGGTTGTGATCATGTTTACATCTTGGTCTTTTAAATTACATTTGGAATTTAATGTTATTCATTAAAATAATTTAAAGTTTTGTTTTATTTAAAAAGTTCTGACTCTAATAATGAGTACATACACTTGGCTCCAATGTAGTAACCCATAGGTGCAAGAAGTGAGTGTGTTTAGCTTTTTTATTCACCTGATTTGAAAGTGGACAAAAACATAAAGAGATCATACCAGACAATTAAATGAAACATTTTATTGTCTGGTATGAAACATGCACTAAACCATCACACCTGCAGGCGTTTCATATTCTCTTATATCAGTACATAACAATACTGTTCTTTATTATATACTTTTGTTCACAATGTTTGTTTGACCTCATCCTATAATTTTTCAGATTTGTGTTATTATGTGTGTATGAGACCATGCATGAGAAGCATAATAGCAAAAAAATTTTATACAAAAATACTACCTGATATACAAATAATTAACCAAAGAAGAAAGCCAGTTAACTGGGGTCCAAAGAATGGTGACTCTTTTCTAAACAAAAATGAAGCATTACTATTTTAGGTCTAATAATACAAACAGACTGCCAGATAATACAAGTATGCCATTGTAAATAGTTTTTTAACCAAATACAGTTTAACTATAGAGTAATCAAGAAAATCTTAGACAACCTTGCAATAAAATCACACAATGATAATACTCAAAACTCAAAGGCAAAAACTGATAAATGAGAGCCAAGTCAAGAAGCTTCATATACATCCTGCCCTGGGCTAGACCTAAAAGAAAGGCAAGTTTATAACCATCTATAAAAATATTTAAAATCAAAACAATGTGTTCAAAACAAAGAAATAACCTTTATATTAATAACCAGATAATACATTATTATTTAAATTTTAAGATCTCTCTCAGACTCAAGATTAAAACAATTTATTATATATTATACATGTTTTATTTGTTCATAATGAAGGTGATTAAAATTTTTTATAAATTAAAAGATTTATGTACTTTTTGTACAAAAAAAGCAATTACTTTTTGTAACATTTGTTGACACCTCTAGTGATGATACTAATTTTAAAAAAAATATATATTTTAGTTAAGTAATTAAATTAAAATGTTGTTAGTGAGTACATTACATTAGTTATGATTATTTATATTAAGTTCTATTGATGAGTTCTAGATTTAAATTTAAATTAGCTAATATTTTGTTTATCAGTTTAAACTGTATTTTAGAAAAATATTTTTATTTTAAGTGGAAACTCCTATTCTGAATGAAGAAGAAGTTAAAGAAAATGGTTTACTTCAGTTAAGGAAAGAAGAATACCAAAAAGCTGTTACAATCGAAGGTATTAAATGGCATATAAATATAACACATAAAACATATATTATATTATGTCTATATATGTATGTATGTATGTATATATATATATATATATATATATATATATATATATATATATATATATATATATATATATATATATATATATATATATATATATATATATATATATATTAGGGTGTCCCAAAAAACAACATTTTTGAAAATAATTTGCTCTCACCCCCTAAATGTGTTCTATCTTATGCAAAAACACTAGGTTTAAATTTTTTTTTAATAAAAAATATTTTGAGGGGTCCCTCAAGACCCTTGAGTATTTAATGGGTCCCTAATATTTTCGAAAAAAGTTTTTCAAAAATATGTCAACCTGGTACTCAAATGAAGCGAAATTATATAAAAATTTTAAAAATAATATTTATTTCGAGACAAAATTGTTATTTTTGGTTTTATTACATAAAAAATTGCGTTTTTTAAGAAAAAATGAAAAAAATGCATTTCTAATGTTTTTTTATGATAATTTTGATAAATAAGTTAAAAATATTTTGAAATGAAAATTATTTTTGAAATATTTATATAATTTCGCTTCATTTGAGTACCAGGTTGACATATTTTTGAAAAACTTTTTTTTCGAAAATATTAGGGACCCATTAAATATTCGAGGGTCTTGAGGGACCCCTTAAAATATTTTTTATTCAAAAAAAATTTAAACCTAGTGTTTTTGTGTTAGATAGAACTTATTTAGGGGGTGAGAGCAGATTATTTTCAAAAATGTTGTTTTTTGGGACACCCTAATATATATATATATATATATATATATATATATATATATATATATATATATATATATATATATATATATATATATATATATATATATATATATATATATATATATATATATATATATATGTATATATATATATATATATATATATATATATATATATATTGAATATATATTGAATATATATATATATATTATATTGAATATATATATATATATATTGAATATATATATATATATATATATATATATATATATATATATATATATATATATATATATATATATATATATATAAGATATATACTATATATATACTATATATATATATATATATATATATATATATATATATATATATATATATTTATATATATATATATATATATATATATATATATATATTGAATATATATTGAATATATATATATATATATATATATTGAATATATATATATATATATATATATATATATATATATATATATATATATATATATATATATATATATATATAGTATATATCTTACTATGTATACTGTATATAACTTCAAGCTTCTTGTTTAAAACTGTAAGTAGTTGCCATAATGATTAAACTGAAGGACTGTTTGTAACAGGTTTTTCTTTTGAATTTTGTGCTTTAATTAGCCAAATAAGCAACCAATTAAATTTAATCAATATTTGGCAACAAAAATTAAGCCAGCATTATTTGCAAATAAATTGAACATGTATAAATAATATGTCACTTGACAGTTTTGCAAAATTAATTACAAAAATATTTTAATTCATTAAAATTATTTTTATCACAGCATATGTTATCACAGCATATGTTATCAAAGCATATGTGAACACACTTTAATTTGGATTTTTACAAGTTTAGCTTGAATGAAATAGTTCTTTGTGATTATATTAAAATGTAAAAAATGACTTGAACCATTTTTTCTTTTGACTGTCAATTTGAATGTTTCTTTTACACATTAAGATTACTAATGTGTTTAATGTGAAATATCTTATCAAAAGCATATTCTTTTAATATGATTTTTTTTTTAATTTTTAAGTGCAGTATATGTAGAGATGATCTAAAAAAAAAATGTTTTTTAAATTTTATTGTTTAGAAGACGTTTTTAAATTTTATTGTTTAGGAGACATTTTTAAAATGCGCATTGAGTCAATTAATTCACACGGAACTTCTATACTAAAATCATTAAAGGTATAAGTTTTATAAAAAATTTGACAGCTTTTTTTGTTACTTTTTATTCAATTAATTTTGTTAATATTTATTAAATTAAATATGATGATGATGATGATGATCATTATCATAATCATGATAATTTTTATAGGGAAAAGCTGATGCTTGTTATAAAGATATGGACATATGGTTAGGTGAACGGTTTTTGCAAGAGATGGAAAGGTAATTACTTTTTGAATTTAATTTTTGTAATTTTTTGTGATCAATAATTTACTTCATTATAAAGTTTTGTGATTTAATAGCATTAAAAAGATGTGTGGCTTATTAAAAAGTGCAATTGAAAGTGAACAACTTTTGACAAATGCAATTGTTTTAGAAGGCACAGATTTCTATGTAGTTGAAGTAATTTCTGTTATCAAGTTTATTTGAAATATATAAAATTTTCAATAGTAGAATATTAGGCATTGCTTGTGTATATAAAATGTTTAGGAAGTTAAAGTTTTTAATCCTCCTGTAAAAGAAAACCAGGAATCATTCTATACTAAAGAAATTGTCACTCCATCAGTTTTTTTATGCTCTCAACTTTCAGAACTTTGTAGACAGGTATTTTAATAATATTAAAGTAAATAAAAATGTTTTTGAGGATTTTTTTTTTTTAATACTTGATGCAGATAGTTCAAATGTATGGAAACCAATTGAACCTAAAGTGCACTTGTCAATACAACAGCTTCACTTTTTTTTTTTAATCTTTTTAATTAAACATTTTTAAGTTTAATTTAAAAAATTTAAAACGCAAATAAGTTTTAATTTTTATTTTTAGTTTAAAGAAATTTCTTCAGATGGTTTTGTATCTTCTAAATTGTTTGCTAGTTTAATAAGTTGTGCTTCAACCTGTAATGTAATGATCAAAAAATGAGATTTTTTTTTATTTTTTTATTTTTTTTTTTTAATTTATTTATTTAATTTTTTGCTTGCTTATTAACTTTAGTTTGGTATTGATTATGTGGCTGAAAAATGGAAAAATTTAAGTCTATCTACTGTAAGCTGCAATTTATAAATCTATGATATTAGTTTTAAATTGATGTTGTCTGTTGTTTGTTTTTTGTTGTTTTGTTTTTTGTTTTTTGTTCATTTGACTTGTATTCAACTTAATTTAGATTGAAAAAATTACAGATGCAGTTTCTACTAATACAGAATATGTTAACTGGAAGACATTTTTACTTTCTATTTCTGAACCATTCCCGTTACCAACAGCATTTGATCTAAAAAAGGCTTTGGATGATTTTTTAGAAATTGATCAAGCAAGACTTGGTGTTTTGTGTAAAACTGATTATGATAAAGTTAGATTTTTATTTTTTTATTTAATTAAACTTATAATACTTTCCCAAATAGAAAAATTATTTTTTTTTTGAATTAATAATACTTTTAATGTGGGTAAAATCACACATTGTAAACATACATGCACTCATGTTATAAATGTACATACATATATACATACATACATACATATTACATTCATACATATACATATACATATTTATACATAAATATACATACATACATACATACATACATACATACATACATACATACATACATACATACCAGCGTGTAAAATAACGGCCGGTCAACAGTCAATGACTGCCCAAAATGAGTAAAGTTGCTATTTTGACCTCCCAAAATGATTTCTTGCCAGTCATGGTTGACCGGTTCAAAAATAATCAGAGTTTTGTAAAACAAGATTTGAAAAAAAATCACATTATTATTTGGAAAAAGCATGTACTAAATTATCATATAATCATTAAAATTTTGAAAAAGTTTATCAATTTATCAAACTTCCTTTAAGAAATAAAATGAAAATCTGCGCGCTTAATTTTAAACTATTTGTTGTGCAATTTTAATGTTAGTTATTTGCAAGTTTAAAAAAGGAATACCAATTTGTTAACTATCAAATATTAAGTTATTTTTGTATTTATAAAGTTCAGTTATGAAGAACTATTACGAAGATTAAAATGAAAACAAAGAAAATAATAAAAACATTGACCGTCCAAAAAAAACAGTTGACCGTCAATTCCAAGGGTTCGCTGGTCAAATTGACCACTCGTCTTCGATTTCTTATTTTACACGCTGATACATACATACATACATACATATTATAAAAGTTCGTATTGTTATTTTTATATTTGGGTTAATTCGTTTTTTGTTTTTTTTAAAGTTACTACCTTTTCCTTTTAAAGTTATTATTACATTTTATGTTGCAAAGTTATATTTTAAGCTTTGTATTACTTCAGTACATTTTTATTTGATTTTTCTTCTTTAGATCCAATTATGGTTTGATAAATGTCAGCCTTATCTTGAAATCAGTTCTTTGCGGTTGAATTCTATTAGGGAGGTAGAACATTATTTAAATTAATAAAGTTCTGACATTACTCTTTTTTAAATATAAAAAATGTTAATCCTTTAAACTTTTAACAAATATTATTCATGTTATTTTTTATCTTATTGTAAAAAAGTGTTCTCTGACTTTGTACTCTTAGCTTTAGAAAGTTATGTCACCCAGGCTTTGTACCACTAACTTTAGAGTGTTTTATATTTAGTGAATTCATTAATGTGTCTCAATATGGCATTATTTTATACTAAAGCAGGTTTTTTATAAGAATAGCTCTTTATTAAAATTTAAATTTTACCACATTTCTATTAATATTATTATTTCTTTAGTTATTTTTTGAGATATTCAGCAGTAAAACATCTGACACAATAAATTATATAGAGATGGTAATATTCAAATTGTAGTATTTATTGTTCAAATTATTTTTTAATTTACTTCAAATTAAAATAGTTATGAAGTTATAAAAGCTTTTTTATTCAAATCCTTAGCTTCTACACTTCTCTATCCTTAGCTTCTACACTTCTCAGCATGTCCAGATTCAGTTTATGGTGTTTTTCTGGCTTTGTGTATTGTCACGTGTCAAAATCCTCCTAATGAATCATTTTTGTGCAATGATAACGTAAATCAAAACTTTCATTTATTTTTTATAATAAGTAAATAAAAAAAAATTGTGTTTTAAAGAATAATAGTTTATTTTTATAATTTATGCGTTTTTTTTTTTTTTTTTTTGTTAGTCAGATGACATTTATGTATCTATTGATGATTTGATAAAGGTAATATCTAATTTTGTTATAATAGTTTTGCTATATTTAATAAATGGTTTTGACATTTTTTTTTAACAAAATAAAAGTTCAAATAACTTTGAGGAGATTTTATTTTTTTTTGAGAGAGAGATTTTAAATTAGTTTTTATTTACCATCATAACAATTGCTTTTGTTGTTATTACAGTTTTTTATTTACTATAATTATTATTTTTATTATTTTTATTATTATTATTATTACTATTGTTATTATCTTTATAAGCAAATTCCTAAGATTTATACACTATAAGTTTAACTAAAACCAACGCTCGAAGAGTGTGATTATTTGGTTTACCAACTTTTTTGATTAATTTGAGACAAATCTCTTCCAGAAACTTTGAGGGTTGAACATGGGCGCTTATTACATACGGTTGATGCATGTTTATCTATGGTTGGAAATTTCATAAATTGAGAGCTAGAGATATCGCAAAACACGGGCCTCAAGAGATATGCAAAATAACTAAAGAAAGATAAGTTTTCCATATTAAATCAGGAGGAATACCAAATGATGCCAAGCGATGAATAGCAGACATTCAAGTGCAACATTTCTCATGAATGTTTTGATTGGATGGATGATTCTATTGCCATAAAAGCTCATTATCATTTAATCAATGCCATCAAACTTTATTGTCTTTCAATCCATTGTCATCAAAAATTATTGTCTTCCAATCCATTGATATCAAAACTTATTGTTATCAAATTATAAGTTTTGATTTGTCATCAAAACTTATTGTTATCAAATCCATTGTCATTAAAAGTTTTTGTTATCTAATCCGTTTTCATTAAAAGTTGTTGTCACATCAAAACTTTAACTATTATTAAAATTGTTATCACAAGTAAATTATATTTTTATATTAATATTTATAAATTTTTTATATTATATTTAATTATATTTTTTATATATATTACATTATTATTTATGTCTTGACTAAAATAATGATGAAAATTGTCATCAATTATGTCAGGAGTTGCATAGATAAAAGTGTAAAAGTATGAATAATTTTGCATGGTTATATTTTCTGATATATAAAAAATTAATCCCATATTGAAATGTTGCCAGTTTTCTTGAAATATATATATATATATATATATATATATATATATATATATATATATATATATATATATATATATATATATATATATATGTATATATATATATACTACTGTGATCAAAAAGTAAGGTGAATTTTTTTATAAAATGAAAAATCTTTATTTATTCTTCCAAATCTGTATTGTCCCCCTCAAAATAATCCCCCCCCGGCCCCAATGCACTTTTGCCAACGTTTTTTCCAGTCTTCGAAGCATGCCGAAAAGTCCTCAGTAGGGATAGCCTTCAATGCGCGTGCCGATTCACGTTGGATCTCTTCAATGGACTCAAAACAATTTCCCCGGAGTGGTCTCTTGAGCTTTGGGAACAGCCAGAAGTCACACGGTGCTAAGTCGGTGGTTGTAGAGCAACATAGGTAGAGTTTTTGGCAAAAAACTCACGAAGAACCAGTGCTGTGTGCGAAGGCGCATTATCGTGGCGCAAAATCCAAGAGTTATTGGCCCATAATTCTGGTCTCTTTTTGCGAATAGCTTCACGCAAACGTCGCATAACGCTTAAATAATATTCCTTGTTGACAGTTTGGCCAGTTGGAAGGAATTCGTAGTACACGACACCACAATAATCAAAGAAAACAGTCAACATGACCTTGATTTTTGAGCGACTTTAACGTGGTTGCTTCGGTCTCGGCTCGCCTTTTTCACGGTATTCACTCGATTGGTCGGTTGTTTCAGGGTCGTATGCGTAGACCCAAGTCTCATTGCCAGTAATAATTTGTTTGTAGATGTCTTGATAGTCAGAAAGCATTGCTTCACACGCTTTAACGCGACGCTCTTTTTCAAAGAAATTGAGAAATTTCAGCACCAAACGTGATTTGAGTCTTCTGAGGCCCAAATGATCCTTCAAAATCGCTTGCACTGACCCAAATGATATTCCAACCATGTCGACAAGGTCTCGAATGGTTAACTGACGATTTGCAAGCACCAATTCTTTGATTTTGTTGATGTGGCGATCATCAATCGAAGTCGATGGTTGTCCCGAGCATTTCAAGTCATCAACACGTTCTCGGCCTTCTTTGAAGTCTTTGTACCACTTGTAAACATTTTTTTGAGACATAGTCTCTTAACCGAAGGCCTTTTGCAACATTTGATACGTTTCAGCAGCAGAAATATCATTCCGCAAACAAAATTTAATAGCACTTCTTTGCTCAACAAAGTTAGACATCATGAAAATCGCCGAATGCACTTTTGGTACTTCAGAAACAAGCGTAAACAAAAAAAAATAATTATGAGTTTGACATGTAATTTGGCGCAAATATTAATGACATTCCTACCAAATTAAAAATAAAAAAGATTGGACGATTCGAATAAGGCGGAAAGTTTAAATTAAAAATTCACCTTACTTTTTGATCACAGTAGTATATATATATATATATATATATATATATATATATATATATATATATATATATATATATATATATATATATATATATATATATATATACATATATATATATATATATATATATATATATATATATATATATATATATATATATATATATATATATATATATATATATATATATATATATATATATATAGGTTTCAAGTTTGATTCCCACCACGTCCCTGGTAGTACAGCTGTTTGTCAGGGTTCGTGTTTCAGAGTTATAGAGTTCAGAGAGGGTTATAACCACTATTAAGTAGCCTCCTCATCTGTAGTGGCCTTCTCGGCCTTGAGGATGTGAACAACAAAAATATATATATGTATATATATATATATATATATATATATATATATATATATATATATATATATATATATATATATATATATATAATATCAGTATATGAATCTTACAATGATTTGGTACTCATTTTTAAAATATTCTTTATTAAAAAAAAAAAAAGATAAAAAATAAATTGTTCTTGGAGGCATCAAACCATAATTTCTTTTTAAAAACCATTAAACCACAGTTAAGATAAGAATAATTATATTTGAACTGCTTTTTGTGCTAAAAAAAAAAAAAAAAAGAATCAAATTTCATTCCAGACTGATTCTTCATAAGTTGATTCATAACCTTTTTAAGTTGTTTCTAGAAATAAAGAATAATTTTTGATTGCTGAAAGTGAAATTCAATGTAGGGGTTGATATTGCAGCTGAAAATTTAATAATTGATAGGTTTTTAATAATAATGATAACAGGTGATTTCTGTATTGCTGACAATTTATCAGATAGAAACATTCATTGTAAAGATTTTAGACATGACACTGAGGAAGTACCTGATGAACAGTGAATTGAAACACAAAAAATGCAAAAAAGGAAAACTTAGTTTTCCTTTTTTGCTTAGTTTAAAAACTTGTTTGAACTTTTTCAAAATAAACCTTTTTAAACTGGAATTTTTCTTTAAAGCTCTAATTTATAATTCTACTGTGATAAATAAAGATGTAAATAAACATACGTGCAACATACATACATACATACATACATACATACATACATACATACATACATACAAGTTTTTAACTGAAACTTTACTTTTTTTAACTTTTTGTTTGTGTATTTTTTTTTACTTTTTTAGTTTCTTTACAGTAGTTTCGCAAAAAAAATATTTATTGGCGATATGTATAATTCAATTAAAGTTTTAAATGAAAATTTCAGTTTTCAAAGTCAACTTTAATGTATAAAAGGTGTTCTTAATGTATAGAAGGTGTTTTTAATGTGCAGAAGGTGTTTTTATACCAATTGTCTTATTAAAACTATTTTACAACACAATTTTATGCATAGCTTTTTATTTTTGAGCTCTTTTTAATCAGCATTTACTTAATACTAGAAATATTCTCTCTTGCTTCTAATATTAATTTATATACATTTAATACTAGAAATATTCTCTCTTGCTTCTAATATTAATTTATATACATTTAATACTAGAAATATTCTCTCTTGCTTCTAATATTAATTTATATACATTTGATACTAGAAATATTCTCTCTTGCTTCTAATATTAATTTATATACATTTAATACTAGAAATATTCTCTCTTGCTTCTAATATTAATTTATATACATTTAATACTAGAAATATTCTCTCTTGCTTCTAATATTAATTTATATACATTTAATACTAGAAATATTCTCTCTTGCTTCTAATATTAATTTATATACATTTAATACTAGAAATATTCTCTCTTGCTTCTAATATTAATTTATATACATTTGATACTAGAAATATTCTCTCTTGCTTCTAATATTAATTTATATACATTTAATACTAGAAATATTCTCTCTTGCTTCTAATATTAATTTATATACATTTAATACTAGAAATATTCTCTCTTGCTTCTAATATTAATTTATATACATTTAATACTAGAAATATTCTCTCTTGCTTCTAATATTAATTTATATACATTTGATACTAGAAATATTCTCTCTTGCTTCTAATATTAATTTATATACATTTAATACTAGAAATATTCTCTCTTGCTTCTAATATTAATTTATATACATTTAATACTAGAAATATTCTCTCTTGCTTCTAATATTAATTTATATACATTTAATACTAGAAATATTCTCTCTTGCTTCTAATATTAATTTATATACATTTGATACTAGAAATATTCTCTCTTGCTTCTAATATTAATTTATATACATTTGATACTAGAAATATTCTCTCTTGCTTCTAATATTAATTTATATACATTTAATACTAGAAATATTCTCTCTTGCTTCTAATATTAATTTATATACATTTAATACTAGAAATATTCTCTCTTGCTTCTAATATTAATTTATATACATTTAATACTAGAAATATTCTCTCTTGCTTCTAATATTAATTTATATACATTTGATACTAGAAATATTCTCTCTTGCTTCTAATATTAATTTATATACATTTAATACTAGAAATATTCTCTCTTGCTTCTAATATTAATTTATATACATTTAATACTAGAAATATTCTCTCTTGCTTCTAATATTAATTTATATACATTTAATACTAGAAATATTCTCTCTTGCTTCTAATATTAATTTATATACATTTAATACTAGAAATATTCTCTCTTGCTTCTAATATTAATTTATATACATTTAATACTAGAAATATTCTCTCTTGCTTCTAATATTAATTTATATACATTTAATACTAGAAATATTCTCTCTTGCTTCTAATATTAATTTATATACATTTAATACTAGAAATATTCTCTCTTGCTTCTAATATTAATTTATATACATTTAATACTAGAAATATTCTCTCTTGCTTCTAATATTAATTTATATACATTTAATACTAGAAATATTCTCTCTTGCTTCTAATATTAATTTATATACATTTAATACTAGAAATATTCTCTCTTGCTTCTAATATTAATTTATATACATTTAATACTAGAAATTTTCTCTCTTGCTTCTAATATTAATTTATATACATTTGATACTAGAAATATTCTCTCTTGCTTCTAATATTAATTTATATACATTTGATACTAGAAATATTCTCTCTTGCTTCTTATATTAATTTATATACATTTGATACTAGAAATATTCTCTCTTGCTTCTAATATTAATTTATATACATTTGATACTAGAAATATTCTCTCTTGCTTCTAATATTAATTTATATACATTTGATACTAGAAATATTCTCTCTTGCTTCTAATATTAATTTATATACATTTGATACTAGAAATATTCTCTCTTGCTTCTAATATTAATTTATATACATTTGATTTGCATAAAAAAATTATTATTAAAATAAATATTTACATTTTTTTTACATGAAAGAGCCAGCATCTTGGAGTTAATAAAAATAGATTAAAGTGAAAAAAGTAAAAAAAGAAGCTTCAAAGTAGTCCTGAATGAATGAAAGAATGCAAAAAGAACAGAATGTTTTTAAGCATTATATAATCATAAAAAGATATGGTTTAAGCACAGGGTTTGTTGGCTTCTCTTTATAAGTATTGACCTAGATTTTATAGATCAATTAAAGAAGACACACACTGCAGTAGTAGAGTCAGAAGCCTGATCATCTGAGAACAAATTATTGACAAAGAAAGAAGCTTGCATATTCACATGTGTGCTAAGATTGTTAGCCTGTAAACCAGAGAAAAAAGAGTTTCTACATGCTAACATTGGTTTGCTATTAGATTATTCACCTGAAACTGACCTGAATCTGATATTCTGTTTAGTACTTCGAATATTTAAAGTTCTAAAGGGTGTGACAAGGCCATTAGCATTCAAAGTATACCAAAATGCTGTGAACTTTTTAATCAGATAATTGGGATGTGTTGACACCAAAGCCAGAAGCACAATGTAGAATAAAGGAAATCAGAAAAATCAGAAATACTATAGTTCATCTGTTAGTAAGAAAAAAAAAAGACAATCTGAATATTTAAAAGAATAGCGTTTTAGACATTATTTCATTGCTTTCTAGTTCATGTGTGCTAAGTTTGAAGATGTCAATTTAAGACTAAATTTGAGATGTCAATTTAAGACCGTTTTAAAATTGTCTCAAGGTTTTTTTTATTCTATTAGATATTTAAATTTTTTTTTTTTTACTTTCGAGTTGACTTTGACAGTTAATATTTTTTATTAAAAACAGTTCATACATATTAATAGCTCTACTACTACAAGATTAATTGTTTTTTGTTGTTGTTGTTGTTATTTTTATGGCTTTTACGTTACCATAGTTATTGTTTAAAACGTTTTAAAAACTATTATTTTTATTTTCCTAATAAAAAAATTAAATGAAAATATAAAATAACAAATAGTTCAAATTATTTAATAAAAATTTTAAAACAGTCAAAATAAGAACATTTTTCTTCGGTGTTTTGTTAAAGCAATTATAACAATTATTTACTGAGCGGCATAATTATTGCGTTACTATTATACGTTTAATGTACTTGAATGTATTTTCTTAACATTTATTACAGGTTTTACATTTTGGTGAACCTGACGTTGGTTGTGGTCATAGATTCAATTTGAAAGTTGATAAAGTTGAAGAATCTAAGGTAAATCTCAAACTTATAGTGAAACCTAAAAATTATTGAAATAAAATAATAATCATTTATTTATATTTATTTTAGTTTTTATATTGTTTAACTTTTATTTATTTTAATATTCTCTTTGTATTTTTAAATATTTTTTATTTTGATGTAGATGCGTTTCTGCGAAATATTTAAAGAAATGGGTTTTGGGGAAAATGAACGAGTTTCAATAAAACGGTTATACGCTCATGCTGATATAAAAAATATGATTGATTCGTGTAAAAAATATCTTAAACCAGTGAGTAAAATTTTGGAATTTTTTGATTAATTTTTTCTATAAATATTTGAATTTGTTTCTTATTTTTTTTCTTTTTTTATAGAATATCCTTGAGTTGGTTTCTAAAGAGGAAAGAATATTGACGCCGGAAAAATTTTTCTAGGGTTTTTTCTATACATATATATATATATATATATATATATATATATATATATATATATATATATATATATATATATATATATATATATATATATATATATATATATATATATATATATATATATATATATATATATATATATATTTATATGTTTTGTTTTTATATAACAAAACATATAAATATATATATATATATATATATATATATATATATATATATATATATATATATATATATATATATTTATATGTTTTGTTTTTAGCAGTTTAATCATTGTTTAAAACATTGAAGATTTAATATACTTTCCTTTTATTCAAATTTAATTAATAAAAATGAGAGATCATGTAAATTTAAGAAATTATTATTTTTTTATGAGTTTTTTAATATTAGAAATTTTATGCAAGAGTTTATTACAGCCATTATATATCAGAAATGATAATATACGTACTTGAATATATATAGACTTGGTTCTTTTATTAATATAATTTGATTTAACTCGGTAAACGGCGAGCTGCTTTTTATCACAACTTTATATTAATTCTAGCTGTTTTTAATTAATTTTTAAGTCTGGCTGCTGTTTTTAATTAATTTTTCTGTATGTGCAAAACTCAGTTTGCAGATCTCAAACTTTCTTTATTACGTTAAATTTTTAAACTAATGGTTATTAAAAAATAACAAATATGTAGAATTCTTTCATGTTTTTTTTAAGGTCCACTTATGAATCACCTTTTTCACCTATAGTGATGAATTCGTTTTGTGATTTTTGTTACTGTTTTATTTAATATTATTGTTATTTTCCAACTACTTGCTTAATTGATTTTATTATTATAGATGATTTTAATTTAAAACACCATAAAAATAATTTCTAGAGCTTTGTTGTTCCAGTAATTTAATAAAATCGCTGATTTGTTTTAAATCGGTTATCAATCCTTTTTGTGTTAATTTCACTCTTACAAACAAAAGATTTTTTTAGCGTACTGTTTTTACGGTGTATATGTTAAAATCTACCTTTTACAAGTTAAAAAAGTAATAAATTTTAAATTTACATGCACCTGTGAAGACTTCAGACTTCACGTGCACCTATTAGCCATTAGTCGCTAAACATTAAGAAAAGCAGTTATACTTAGCTCAAAATTAAAAATTAATGCATTTCTGTGGATGCAAGGGTCCAAAGCTATGGATTTCTCTTGAAAAAGTGTAGTGGTTCTAATGAGTTTATAACTTTGGTAAAAAATAGCGAAATAATTTTCAAATAAAATTTAATATCAAATATTTTCAATGGTTTTTTCTTTAAAGTTTTATTGTTTCCCAATAATAACGATTATAAACGATTATAAACGATAATAACGATAATAATAATAACTCAATCTTAGAGTATTTCTTAATACTGTTAAAAAGGCTGTAAATTATTCAATAAGAATTTTGAAATAAGTTTGAAAAGTTATTTTCAAATTTTAAGTTTCTTAAAACCGCCTCGGATGATATTTCAAAAATTATTGGCTATCAAAACTAAAAAAAAAAAAATCAGTGATAATATACCAGCGCATAAGTCCCGTGTTTTTTTCTTTAAAGAAAACTTCTCAAAGTATATAAATAATAGAATTTTTGATGAAAAATTCTTCTCCTCTCAATAAATGGCTTAACAAATAAAATTTCTCCATTTCTTCACCTCTCTCAAAAGTTTTTGAATCTGCTTTATAAAAGTGCAAACGGCTGTTTGTTGTTTTATAAAAGTGCAAACGGTTGTTTGTTTTTTTATTAGTGCAAACGGTTGTTTGTTTTTTTATAAGAGTGCAAGCGGCTGTTTGTTGTTTTATAAGAGTAAAAATAGTTGTTTATTGTTTTATAAGAGTACAAACGGGTGCTTATTGAGCTTGAAAAATAGAAGTTAGGGCTATGTAACGATTCGGAATAAGATGTTTATTTTACCAAAAATAAACTAGAATGTTTGCATGATAGAGATTTTATTGGTGAAATAGAGATTTTATTGGTGCAATGCTTATGGATTTTTTCAAATTTTTTGATTTGATTCTTGATAATTTATTGATTATTAAATTGAGAGCTAATGGGTTTTCTTATAAAAGCCATAAACCTTTATTATCATAATGTAAATAAATGATTTAATCAGGATCATTTTATTTTTATTAAACAAGCTTCTTTATTATTTATCTTATTTATATTGTTTAATTCTTCAGACTACACTTGATTAGGACGTTTACAATACAATAAAAATAAGACAAAGAAGACAAATAGTATCATATACAAATAATAAAAACAATAAATTGTGGACTTCCTCAAAGCTAATTTTTGGGATCTTTACTGTTATTTAGAACCATAGTCATTTTTATTCCTTCTCCAGTTTTCTCCACAGTAATTTGTGAGCCGGAAAATCGTAATGACTTGTTTAAAGCTTACTGCCTCTCTTTAAATAGGGTAGATTAGGGTAATATGAGCACCTTGGCAATATGAGCATACTTAAAGATTTCTTAGATGTAAGCAGTAAAGATAAAATTACTTTGTATTTTTTGAATCGACTTTATGTGGTGATAACAGGAATCAGTACAATTAGCGTAAATCTAAATGCAGTAATTAGCGGCTACCGTCTAATTAAAACGCTATTAAATTTTTTGCTTTGCTAAAATAATATCATCACGCATAAATAAATCTGTGGCGCGAAATTTTTGTACTAAAATAATAAAATTAATTTTTTTATAAAGAAAAATATGTTAGCTACAAATCCAATCCATTTTTGTTTGAAAAACAAAGTATAGAAACATTTAGCTTTAACTTTATTTAAAGTTACCTTTTTTGTGTAATATGAGCATGCTCAAATTACTCATTATTTTTCATTGAAATACTTAATTAGTTTAAAGTCCTAAAAAAGCAGTGGTTTTAATTGCTTTTTGAATAAAAACAAAACATAGTAAAGTATTTTAATGTTTTAACAATACTAAATATTTTTCTGTAATTCCAACTCAAAAAGTTTGAATTTTTATTGTTCAATGGTTTGAGTTAATAAAGTTGAAAAAGAAAAACTAATTCTTTTTTCTTGCAGAAAACATAGTCGTATTGTTTCAACAAAAAGTGGCTTAAAATTTGATCTTTTAATGATAAGTTTTGTTAATAACGAATCATCATACTCCAAAAATTAGTTCTAATTGTCAAGTTGGTATTTTTTTATTTAATGTTATTTTTAATTTTTTTTCTTGATGTTATTTTTTTGAGCTAATTTAAAGTGCTCATATTATCAAATGGTCTTGCTAATATGAGCACGTTTGCCACTTTTTTAAAATCTCTGTTTTTTTTTAAAAAAAAAGTTCGGGTGCGCAAATATCTAAGTGGACCATGAGTAGAAATCCCTAAAAATTATTTATTTGCAAAAATCTTGGATCCAGCATAACTATTTCTGAAAATATTCCTTATTTCGCTTAAGGTGCTCATATACCCTAATCTACCCTATCAGTAAAAATAAATATACTTTATGTCATCCAGACATAACTTGGTATTTTGCAAAAATTTAAAAGTTATTGATTAACAACATCAGAGTAAAATTATTACATCAGATAAAATCCTAGTAAATAGTATTTGATGAACATTTTAGTTCGAAAAATTATATTCAAGTTTTTGATAAGCAATTTTAGCATTGAAAGCAAATTTCTTCATTAAATGGCATTATGTATACGATAAAATATCCACTAAGTAAAAGGTGTTTAAAAAATATATAACACTCTTTTATCTATATCTATATTAGCTGTTCTAATATTGCTTACGCGAGTACTTGCTCTTCATCATTAAAAAAAAAAAGTAAAATTATGTGATTCGTAGAAATATGTAATGCGTATAAATCCAAGCCGTTGATCCAAAAAATTAAAGCTCTTAATGCATTTTTTAAAAAACATTAACAAACTTAAGTTAACTCTTAAAAAAACAGATTATTTAATTGCAATTTAGGGCCTTGCATATAAAACAGTCAAGAAAGCGCATTCTGATGGCACTGAATTTACAAGTGAACACACCAACTTTTGTGCTAAAATAGTATAATTAAATCTTCATAGTTTTGAAGATTTTTGTTTAAGAGGAATTATTAAGCAAGTTTTGCTAGGTAAAGGAACACGTTGCACATATTAAATTATTAAAATTATACATATAAATATTATTTCTCAATAATAATTATTATTGAGGAATAATAAGTGTTTTTTTTCGTGTGTGTGTTCGATTCACATAATAAAATCCTTTACAGCACGTAAAATCCGTAGACTTATAAATTCAAAGTCTAGATTAAAAAAACTAATTAAAGTGAAAACAAAGAGATCTAATAAAATATCCTAATGATCTTATCGCCAGAACCTTTTTTTTCCAAAAATAACATGTAATACAATACCAGAAAGAAATATTAATCATTATATAAATATACACATTGTATCATAAAATTTCATTATATATTGTGTAACTACATTATCAAGAGCATTCAAAAATATTTTCAATTGAGATAATAAGGTTTTTTAATTTATTTTAGAAGACTGGAAAAGTAATCGGTAAATCAAATTTGGTAAAACAATCCTATTCTAAAGATATGGTACACGATATGAAATACAAAATTGATTTAATTTTGTTTTACAAAACGGTTCATTTACAAAATTGTTATTTCTTAAGGCGTATTTGTTTATGGGTTTCAAAAAAAAAATCTTTATAAACTAAAGGGCATAAATCGTTTTTTCACATATAAATAGAACATAAAATATTAAATACATTTAATTCGTATACATTGAATATTCTTGTTTCCATAAAAAATGTTCTAGTATGTGAGAGTCGATCTGGAAAACTGATTAAACACGTATAGCGTGTTTTTGACTGCAGTAATGACGTTTTATAGTAATTGCATAATTTATATAATTTTTTTTTTTTAAAAAGAACAAAAATGTTCATTTTTATTTGAAACGGTTTTTGGGGCTTAATGATAAGATTAAATTTGTCTTCTTCTAGCCCCGGTCATTAATTATTTTTTATAATTTA